ATTAGAACAACGTCTCTGTGAAATGTGCAGTGTCTTAGACGATGAGCAACACCATATAATATCATGTACCAAGTATAACAAAGAAAGGGAATCACTTATACACACAATGCTTTATTATGACCAAGAATTTACTACACTCTCAAAAAAAAGAACAATTCCTAATAATTTTCACGAACAGAAGTCCTGAATTAATTTCCAAAATATGTCACCATCTTTACAACTTTAAATGAATTTTATATCTTACCATAGTCTCCTCATGTATTATTTCCATGTCATTATACCTCATGTTTTCTAAAGATTGTTATAATGTACATCATTTATGTGTGAAATGTATCTATATTTCTTGTACCTACTGTGTAAATATTTGTAGCTTATAGAATATTGCCACTGTTTCTTCATGGAATGCTATGCAATAAATATCTGATCTTATCTTATCTTATCCTACGTTCAGCAATATTCCAGCTTTATGGCAGTGGTCTGCAAATGACCAAAGTTGCACCAGACAATTCAGTGATTGAAATCATACATCAGTCTACGCAACTGGGATACGATTACATGTATGAACCATGTCAGTGAGCCTGACCACCCATTCCCGTTAGTTGCCTCGTGGGTTGCTCAAGACCAGTTCTAACCCAGATCTTCACGTGTCTACCTGTTTAAATTTATTGAAGTGTAGTAGCTCTTTGGTACAGTGGTTTGCCTGTTCCAGACTTGGGTTCATGTGTCTGTTCCTCCATTTTATGAAGACTACACCGAAAATTCTATTCCTACTCTAAGATTTATGACACAATGCTGATGGCTTCTGCAAGTAACGAAATCCATCTTTCACATCATTAATGTATAGTGTTTGTTTTGTCTGTAATATTAAAAAAAAAAACTTACACCGTTTGTGCAGGGAAGCTCCTTTGGGGCCAAGTTTGGCTCTTTATTGTTTTAAATGTTATTATCTTAGACAGGAGTCATGTCCAACCTTGGCACCATTAGCGCTTGGTGTTGTTTGATCTTCAGTGGTTATTGGCCCATTACCATCATCACATGACTTGAGTTATGTCACAATTCACACCTTATCTGAAACAACAAACACAGCAGCCCTCTCCTTCTCTTATTCTCGCAGATAACAGTAAGTTAATATTTCCGAAGCATGCAAGCTCTCATCGGCAAAAGTAAAATAAACAAGGGAAATGGCAGAACTGGGTATTTCTTACATTTTTTTACATCATTTCCCAAGAACGGTTCTTCACCTTTGTGAATGAGAAAAAAAGCCATTTACTGAATTCTGTTTGGACCAAATTTATGTCAGTAATTGCTGGCGCCATACTTACCTATCGTGATGGGGAACGCAATCATCACGTCTTACCTGTACTTTTCTTGGAGCTGATTGTTTTCAAAGGAACTCCCAAGCATTGAGCTGCTAAAATGAGGGGGAAAAGTAAAGTTTAGACAGAGGAGAAAGTTTGTTCAACTTACTATGTAAAAATATTCCCACTGTCACTGTTTTTGTCTTGATGTTTTAATCATTTCTGTTCCCTCGGATTTGGTTTATTGTCCCCCGACACAGCGCGGAACAGGGGACTATGTATTCAGCGGCGTCCATACGCACGTATTCTTGTTAATGCGATATCTCATGAACTGTTGTACCCAATGTTTTCAAATTTGGTGACTGCCTACATTTGGGGTTTACCCAGACACCTGTTTATTTGGGTGACCTTGACCTTTTCTTCAAGGTCACCACGACACTTTTCAAACTTATTTAAATGCGGTATCTCATAAAACATTGCACTCAATTATGTTGACAGCCTACATTGGGTGATTAAGCTGACACCAGTCATTTCAGGCATCTTTTATGTGACCCAAAAATAAAAAGTAGTAAATATAGATATTCCATTCTTTAGCGGCGGGGGACATTGCCATATCAGTGGCAAACACTTGCGTTGTATGATTTTAATGGTTTTGTTGATTTTGTTTAGCATTATATTGAAATGTAGATTTGAAATTTAATTGACAGTTCTTTTGTTGTCCTGACTAAATGGATGATCACACCAACGTACAGAAAGCCAAATGTCCTCACATTGAGCTGTATGTTGTGGAAGTTGCCTTCAAATTAGATCAAACAACAGAGGTTTTCAACATTTATAATATTTGTGTCATGTCAGTACAACACTCCCAGTGAGTTTTGTGTTGTAAGTTCCAATAATACTCAGTGCGGTAGCCCAGTGGTTAAAGTGTTCGCTCGTCACGCCAAAGACCAAGGTTTGATTACCTGTATGGGTACAATGTGTGAAGCCAATTTCTGATGTCCCTGTCGTGACATTGTTGGAATATTACTAAAATTGGCATAAGAACTCGTTCACTCACTCACTCACTCACTCACTCACTCACTCACTCACTCACTCACTCACTCACTCACTCACTCACTCACTGATATCTCTTTACTGTTTCATGTTTCCTTGGTGTCACTTATGTGTTGCTGTTGTAGAATTTGTCTTAAGTAACCTATGCTTGTCGAAGAAGGGTCCAGATAGATTAGTCTGGACCTTAGTCTGGACTTGGTGACTGGACATCTTTTGTTATAGCCCACTGGTGTGGATCACTGCTGACAATATCAGTCACTGGATTGTCTGGCCCAGACGTGATTATTTACAAACTGACATGTGTCTATAGCTGGAATATTGCCCAGTGTGGCTTTATTAACAAAGAACTTTTATATTCAGATGAACCTTGGCACAACAACCAGTGTTTAATGCAACAGAGATAAAATATTGTCTGATGTCTCCTTTACATTATGAAATGGTGCCATTAATGTCAGAAAACATTTCGTTAATTCATTTGCGTTTAAATGAACCTTGGAACAAATGTTGTTTCAATGCTGAATGTGAAATAGTGTCTGATTTTAAACTGTGAACGTACAACTTGTACATCTGAAAATTTGATTGTGTGAGAAGCGAGCCAAGGTCGGTGATTGCTTGTTTCATCATCGTGCAATCACAGACAGATTAAATCTATTTGGCATTTCTGATTGCCTGCAACACAGTTGAAGTCATTACCTTTCATGCACTGAGCCAGCAAGGAAGGTACACATGATGCATGCCATACATACAGAGGTGGGAAAGGGTAACACACAACAGTGCCGTGGACCACAGATTACTGAAGGGCAAGAAAGTGATGTGCATCTTTTGGGAAGATGCCACACAAGGTTTTGGGATTCCAGGAATGGTGTCAGAATAGGTGAAAGTCTTGTGGCAGGAACGACAGTAGCAGATGTTATAGCACTACTTACCTTCATAGTGAGGCTGTCGAGGGATGGGCTACCCTGGGTTGATGTTAAAGTCTTTTGGCAGGAGTGATAGTAGCAGATGTTATAGCACTACTTACCTTGTAGTGAGGCTGTCGAGGGATGGGCTACCCTGGGTTGATGTCAAGTTTTGTGGCAGGAGTGATAGTAGCAGATGTTATAGCACTACTTACCTTGTAGTGAGGCTGTCGAGGGATGGGCTACCCTGGGTTGATGTCAAGTTTTGTGGCAGGAGTGATAGTAGCAGATGTTATAGCACTACTTACCTTGTAGTGAGGCTGTCGAGGGATGGGCTACCCTGGGTTGATGTCAAGTTTTGTGGCAGGAGTGATAGTAGCAGATGTTATAGCACTACTTACCTTCATAGTGAGGCTGTCGAGGGATGGGCTACCCTGGGTTGATGTCAAGTTTTGTGGCAGGAGTGATAGTAGCAGATGTTATAGCACTACTTACCTTCATAGTGAGGCTGTTGAGGGATGGGCTACCCTGGGTTGATGTTAAGTTTTGTGGCAGGAGTGATAGTAGCAGATGTTATAGCACTACTTACCTTCATAGTGAGGCTGTCGAGGGATGGGCTACCCTGGGTTGATGTCAAGTTTTGTGGCAGGAATGATAGTAGCAGATGTTATAGCACTGCTTACCTTCATAGTGAGGCTGTTGAGGGATGGGCTACCCTGGGTTGATGTCAAGTTTTGTGGCAGGAGTGATAGTAGCAGATGTTATAGCACTACTTACCTTCATAGTGAGGCTGTCGAGGGATGGGCTACCCTGGGTTGATGTCAAGTTTTGTGGCAGGAATGATAGTAGCAGATGTTATAGCACTGCTTACCTTCGTAGTGAGGCTGTTGAGGGATGGGCTACCCTGGGTTGATGTTAACATCGTGTGGCAGGAGTGATAGTAGCAGATGTTATAGCACTACTTACCTTCATAGTGAGGCTGTCGAGGGATGGGCTACCCTGGGTTGATGTCAAGGTTTGTGGCAGGAATGATAGTAGCAGATGTTATAGCACTGCTTACCTTAGTAGTGAGGCTTCAATCCTTAACCATTGAACTGCCTCCATGGTGTAGTGGTTAGAGCGTCCGCCCGAGGGTACAACAAGGAAGCCGGAAGGTCATGGTATATCAGTGGGCGGGTTACAAAGCAACCGATCACCCGACTGCGTCATACCAAAAGACGTTAAAATATGGTACTTGTTGGTCCCTGACTGACGCTCGGCATTAATGGGTACAACAAGGACTGGTCGGCTCGGAGTAAGTATAATGTGTCTGAGTGGTGTATTCATGCTTCACTGCGGCATGGTATCTCAGTGGGCTAGCACTTATATAATAAAACCAGCTTCAGTCTGGGCTAGTACAAGCAGCCGCACATACACATACACACGCATGCAAGTCGTCATATGAGCTAAATATTCTCAAGCATGACGTTAAACCCAATTTCACCTCACCTCACCTTAACCATTGAATGTTTCACTACAGCAGGGGTAGCATAGTGGTTAAAGATCCAGGTTCGATTCCTCACATGGGCACAATGTGTAAAACCCATTTCTGGGGTCCCCCGGCATGGTATTGCTGGAATATTGCTAAAAGTGGCGTACAACAACTCACTCACTCACGCACTCACTCATTACAGCAGACTGCAATACTTACTCACTCACCCACCACCTCACCAACCCACCTTCCCACTCACTCACCCACCACCTCACCAACCCACCCTCTCACTTACTCACTCACCCACCACCTCACCAACCCACCCTCCCACTTACTCACTAACCAACTCAGCAACCCATTCACTCAACCACCTCACCCACCCACTCACTCACACACGTAAGCTGTTGACCTAAGCTTACAGCTTCTAATAAATTAGCAGGGTAATCCAGGGTTGAACAACCTGATTAACGCCTACATTCCTACCCACTGGCATTTGAACAGATATGAGCAGTCTGGTATCTCTTCCAAAACCAGCCTCCGTATTGGGTCGGGGCAGCAAAGTTGCTTTGTGGCAACAGCCTCTGATAATGTTATCCCATAGGTACATACCTGCACAGCGCCTTTTGTCAGTTCTTTGTAAAGATAGACCATGACCCGTCTGTTTCATTATCTGTACATGAATAACATTAGATTCCTTGCTTCAGCAAGTTCTAAAATTTGCCCATGTTGTGGGGAATCAGAAGTAGAACATGGCCTTCAACTCCATTACTCTGCTACAAGAGCTGACCCATGTGGGGATCAGGTGGACATGGCGCTAAAAACGTCCGCCTACCTTTTCTGTGAGGCTCTCCAAGGAGGGGAACACCACAAATTGTTGTGGGGTGTTATGACAGTTAGTAGAAGGAGAAAGAAGGATTATAATAAAACTGCCTTCTTTCTTTGGTTGGCTCTCAAAGGAGGGTTATAATTAAACCTTTTCTTTTGAGCTGGCCATTGGTCTAATCAGACGTTAAGTTTGCTGAAATCTCATTCATTTCTGCTCATTTCCAATTTAAATGAGTCCCTTGTACCTTGGTTTTGTTTATTCCATGTGTGATCACATACAGGCTTTCCGTGTGTTTCTGGAATATTGCTGACTACAGCATTTACCAATATTCATCCACTTCTTGGGGTTAGGTAGGCTTGTTGTTAAAGTGTCCACTCGTCATGCCGCATACCTGGGTCTGATTCCCAAAATGGTTACAGTTTGTCAAACCCATTTCTTGTGTCCCCTGCCATGATATTTCTGAAAGAGGCTTAAAACCCAGCTCACTCACTGACTTGTTCCTATGTCCCCAAAGGAACACCATATAGAATGTGTCCTTGGCAAACTCTACTGGTTGTAAACTGACTAAATGGTCAGGCTCGATGAGTAGTGTTGCTGATGTGACATCACACCTTAGTATGTGGATCATATTAATCACTGGATTGTCTGGTTCAGATCCCAACTGGACTTCAGCAACCCATGCAGGCACAGAAGCATTCAAGGTCACGAGTGGATTGATGTATGTTATCGTATTTCAGAGATCAAGATCGTTGTTCGTTATATCAATCACTGGATTGTCTGGTTCTGATTTGTTACACTCTGCTGTCTAAGAGTGGTATTATCAACACATGCACACTGATCGCTATGTATCACAAGGGCTGCTAACTACACCATTAGCTTCCTTCATTCATTCAGTCAACTGGTTGACTGCGAGGCATTGGAAGAGCTGTTCTTTGATATGGATGTTTGAGCATGTCCTAGACAAGCCACTTGCAGTAAGCTGAAATTGATGTAAAAAGGAAAACTCAGGGGAATCTGGCGATATTGGAAATGTCTTATGTGAGGGAGCTTCACGAGCCACAGCTGGTAGTAGTGAAGGAAGACTTTTGCTTGAAACTAATATTGATTCAACTAAAAACTTCAATATTGACCCAATACTTTTGAAATGCTTCGTAAACACACATTTTAGAACTATCTGGAAGTTTTAGTTTTTCGTAAATTCCATTACGAGGTAAATTGCGACTATCATTTCCTGTGGAGGAAAGATGTATGGTGCTGGTGACAGCCCAATGCCTGATGCAATCATTTCAAGGAAGTTGCTTCCAAGTGATGGAAACTTTGTCCCAAACACTAAGCTGGGTACCTTCTATGTAAACAAGGCAGCTCCGATTTCCACCGTGTCGAAACTCACGAATTATATTACTGTTGCTGCTGCTGTAACAACCCTCCAACAAAGTACTAGCACTTCACAGAATAAATATTTGGTTTATCTTGTAGCTGAAGAGATTGAGAAATATTTGAAATAGCTGTTCAGTGTGGTTTTCCACGCTGCTTTTTGTAAAGAATCAGAATGTCACAGCAGACGACACTACAGATGGCTCTAATAACACGATATTGGCTGTAAGGGTAGCATAATCGTTGTTAATAACTTCCTTATATTTGCATTGCATTTTAGCGATTATTACAGTTGATTGGGCATTAAAAGCCATATGATGTGCAAGTTGTTGTGAAAAATATGACATCATCCATGTCATCACAAATTGATTGCGTAATGTCATATGAATGATACGTCTGCCTTCAGTGGAGTTTCCCGATAGAGTTAGCATTTCAAACATTTTTACTTCATTTTGTCATTGAAAATGTCAGCGAGGAATATATCGAATAACCAGCTTGAAAGTGGGAATTATAGATTATCTGTCCCCTGTGAATGAATGCTGCAAGATCGTTGCCTTAGGCTAGGATTCACACCATTCAGTCTGGACTCGTAGCTTATTGGTTGTTCTCTGACTCTGTCCTTGTGTTGAATCAAACTGGATGTTCCATGTGCTGAGTCAGTGCTTTGTCCAATCATTGAGGAGTGGGTTTTTTGTATTATAGATGAGAACACCCTTTTGTCTTCTAATGTAAAATTAAGGACATTACAAAAGTACATGATTTCAAATCCTGATGCATTAGAAGTTGGATACACTTTGAGAATTGTCTGAGGAAAATATAACCAATAAAATTAGTGGTGGATAATTGTGACATGTCATGAATTCTTACGTGATTTTGGAATGTTTTGCTTCAAGATTGATGTGAACATGCTGTTGTCATGATAGTCAGCCATAACCCATCACATACTCCACTCCAGATTAACACTGAGGGACTTAATAGATTTGGTATATGGTGACTTGGCGACTTGATGACTTGGTTAGTTAAATGTCATCATACCATGTCAGAGTCATTGCTTCCAACATCTGTAACTGCATCTGTTGTCCAGATTTGATTATATACAGGCTGTCTTCATGAAATTCTTCAAAGGCATTTAGAAGTTGGCGTAGTAATACGAGACAAATCTTATGGATAACAACTTGCTTGATTTATTTTTCACAACATTTCTGGGCTAGTTCTTGCCCCTTCGTCAGGTGGATAATAACTAGCCCAGAAACGTGAAAAATAAATCAACAAGTTGTCTTGTATGTCTTCATGAAGCTGGAATCTTCCTTAGTGTCACAAAAGAAGCTACTGTCCACCATTACAATAGTCTTACACTATTATGCAAAGGAAAACCCAGGGCCCAGATTTTCGAAGCTCTCTTAGCGCTAAGATAGTCGTAAGTGCCATACATTAACATTAACTTATGAATATCTTAGCGCTAAGAGAGCTTAGAAAATGTAGGCCCTGGATGATAATGAATTATGCTACTTTATGGATAACAGCTTCTTGTTTATTGCATAGAGTGGCATTTGTACATGCTGCTGATAGAATTTGTCTTCAGCAACTCAAGTTAGACTTATGAGGGGAGTAACGGGATCGGATGGTCAGATACAAGCAGACTCAACTGTTAAGATCTATGCTCATGATGTCAGTCACTGATTGACTGGTCCAGATGTGGGAGACTGTTGTCAGATAGCAGGAATAATGTTAAATACAGTATTAAACAGTAAAACTGTACACACTGAGAGGAGTGAGTGAGTGAATTTTGTTTTATGCCGCTGTTATCAATATTCCAGCAATATCACATCAGGGGACACCAAAAATGGGCTTCACACTTTGTACTCATGCGTGGAATTGAACCGGGGTCTTCAATGTGACAAGCGAATGGTTTAACCACTAGGCTACCCAACCCCCCCACGCTCAAAGGAAGCAATCATTTAATTGTTACAAGATACTATGTCCATTATCAATGAAGCAAAGCTAGACCTCACACAAGAAACTGTCAAATATTTTTTGTCAAAAATACACGAAATCTAACTAACAAACATTAGTGTTATTCAGTACTCCAAAACACAAACAGCAAATTAAGAATTCATGAAAATTGGTTTGATCATTCGTCTTGACAACTGCAGCATCCATCAAACAGACAAACTCAGTTAAGCTAACGTCCATTCTTAACTTCGGTTCATGTTACGACCGGTAAACAATTTCCAACCTAGTGGTTTTTCTAAGTAAGTTTCTCCACTAAGGCGTTACCAGTAATATCTTTCATAATTTGAATGGTCCCCAATTGTGATGAGGTGTTTAGTATTCTGTGGACGATGTTGGGTCAAATAGCTTCATCTGGGTATGTATTCATCACACAGGGGAGAAACGGGATGTCAATTACCTGGCCATTGCTCCCATGTTGATAGCTGCCTATGGCTGGGCTGGAGTCGTATTCTGTGCATAATTAGTTTCTATCGAGGAAAGTTTCTTCTGCCAAGTCTTGGGAGACTTATTGAGATTGGTCTATATCATGTTAGCTTCACAAGTGGAATTGTGTCTGTCACGTGCCCTGCATTTTGATCGAGTCATACGATTTGCTTATTGGAATTAAGTGAATGGCACTGATTTATCGAGGTAATTCATTAGAGTTTTGGAGTGCTTGATACAAACTGTATTGGCGGGTTGATGGGCCGGTGTTGAAGGTGTGTGTTAACTTAGTAGAAGGATTCGTGCATGATTTGGGTATAATTTGGCAAGATTGCTATTACTTTTACTGACGAAAGGTAATCATTTCATTACTGTAAGAATACCCCTTCCTTATCACTGATTGGCACATTACCACCACACATTGAAACAAATAAATTTTGACGTGTTGATTTAGGGAACAGGTGATTGAAAACAATTATCATAAGTAGAGGTGTATAAATTTAATTTTTATAAATCGGCTTAAAAGTATCATGATATATACTGATTCAGTCATTCTGATCATTGGTCCAATGGACATGACGTCCAGTGTTGTATCAGAAGGTCCATGGTTTGAATCCCACCTAAGCACTCGGAAGTGTAATGCCCTCTGCATTGATGCTCAACATGAGGCTGAGCATTTTATGTTGAATTAGAAAAAGATGACTGTTTGTTGTTTAATGATTAAATAGACACTTTGAAAACTCACTGGGGTGAGGCTGGAAGTGTGGATGCTTACAAGTTCAGTAGGTACATTTTGATTGGTTGGTGATCTCCAGATGTTGTTGATAAAGCTATGGTTTAGGGTACTTCCTGATGAGTGAGTGAGTCTAGTTTTATGCTGCACTCAGCAATATCCCAGCTATATGGTGGCGGTCTGTAAATAATCAAGTCAGGACCAGACAATCCAGTGATCAACAGCATGAGCATCCATCTACACAATCGTGATGACGACGACATGATGAGATATGATACCCTGAATGGCCAATCAAATAGGCGATATGCATATTATACTTGTTGGATTCTAGGATTAAGGCCTGGATGCTGCAAAATAGATTCACATATTACAGTCTGGGTATGCATGAAGTTTCTCACTGTTCCCAGTTTTTCCACATTTTTCTATCATATCTGATTTACAATGATTGGATTATATGCATCCAATGTTAAACTTGTACACTTTAGACTCTTTTACAACCAGAGCACTCTACTCTCACTGGAACTTTCTCAAACTTTGCAGCGCTCCATGGTAAATTACTTTTCCCCCACTCTGCCTGATCCATACTTCTGCACCACAACCTGTATCCCAAGTGTCAACATGTTAATTTGTCATGGTAATTGCTCTTTGATCTAATTCCTGCCTTTATTGACACTACTGAATTAGGGAAAAAATTGACTGAACTTTCAATGTGGCTCCTGCCATGGTGATGTTTGATCCATTCAGTGTCTGTTAGCAGGAACACGCATTCGCCATCAGGGCTTTCATCACTGTCCAAGGTTCCCTGTGACCTTCTGTGCTGCTGTGCCTTCAGGAATGGGGTCCCATTGCAGTGGACAAAAAAATCCTATAATTGCCTAGAAATTGGAGGTGACCATATCCCATCAAGATTGATCTGCTTTTTAGTAGTCATTGTATAAAGAAGTTGGACTGGAATTTGTTTGATAGGCTCTTGGTTGGTTTGGATGGATCATCTTTCATAACACTTAAAAAGTTCATTTAAAGTTTATTGGAATATTTTTTCTCTGAAATTTTATTTTGGTGTGATCAATATTTGAATGTTGGGTGGATGTTTTCTTTTAATAGAACTTTTAAAAGGGAATAAGTTTTGAATGTTGATGATAAGGTCATTTAAAGTTTCGGAAGTTGCTGTGATTGGATTTCACTGTTGTGTGTCTCATGGTTAGAATGTGAATAATTAACACTCCTTTAATTTCCATAGGCATCACTATTTCACTACAGCTTCAGAAATGGGACACGGTTGTCATGTATTTTTAAGGCAATGCTGGTTGTACACCAAAGCAGTCTCAATTAAGGAGCAATGGTGGCCTCGTGGTCAAAGATTCAGAGTTATCTGCTCTTGGATCTGCTTACATGGATTTGGAGTTATGCTCTGATTGTGATTACAGACAAGGAGGAGGATCAGATGGATTCTCGTCCTGACCTGGGTGTTGTTGTACAAAACACCCTTAGAGCTATGACAGCTGTAAGTTTCTGTTAAGGTATGGGAGTTATTATAACCTTAGCCCTTAGCTGGCTTTGTACAATGGCACCCTGGAAAGATGTCTTACATCTTCAGGCCTCTTGATCCATGTTACAAATAGTGTCT